AAGTTTGGAGGAACATGAGGGTGAGGTCATTTTGGGTGAACTGACCAAAGCAGCAAAACAATTGCAGTGCTCTTAATAAACAAAGCGTTGAGCACCATTATATTTGTTCTTGGTGTAAACGGCCTTACGATATGAATCGTTTACTGACCTCTGTCTTAACTTCACTGTCATGATGAGTAACCTAATCTTTGTGCTAGACATTCAATGATATACCATAACAGCTCGGTGATGCAACTATCTGTAAAGCACTGTTTTACATGGTGAAAATACCATGGAAGTTACAGTGGGAAACTCATAACTAGAAATTCATCCATTTAAAAATCCCACAATTCCACAGTTCAAATACATTTTCTCTTCAGACCAAATAGCGATTTAACACAAATACACCCTTCACATTTTGGCTTTTAAAACCCTCAGGAACACTGGTCTTGTGTACTTCATTTGTTAGTGCTTCAGCTGTGAAGTTTTTCCATATATTTTCCATTAATATTTTCCCATTGATCGAGCTTAGCTTGTATTTAACCGGAATATTGGCTGATTTAACTTGAACATCACTCACACTCTGAGGATATAGAGAATACTGAGGATACAACATCATATGCCTTAGGAAACATGTTATTGTTTTGGACAAGGTCGCGTAGGAATTGAAAGCTTTTTGGCTAAGTTCAAGTAATGTCTGGCACCTCATTGGCCCTGCCAGTGAGTCCATATTGCCAACATCCTTATTTTTTTGGTGATGAAGACAGCTTTGTAATGTAGGTCAAAATAGCGCCAAGTCTGAAATCCCCTGCTCTCATAATGTCACAATCAAATTCACCATAAATGCAAGAGACCTGTAGTGCTCTAGATGCTCATACACATACTGAATTATAAAGGTACACATGCACACAGACACAGACACACATATCCAGACATGAATGCAGTCATCCATAAATCCTGGGTAGACATATTCTCTGTGACTAAAGCAACTCAAACACACCTGCACATTGACCAACACATTGACTCACATGGACACAAAGCACTTAGTCTCAGTCTTAGACGTGTCCGTTCACTGACTGTTTGAATATTACAAGAGATACCTGAAATCGCCAGTTTCAAATCTGATTGGCTGGAAACTAAGGTACCGCTAAAAGTCCAACCATCCTTGTCTGGTGTGTTATCATCAATTTCAGATCTGAGAAATGAAAATGATTAATTGGTCAGACTGTTTGTTTGGGTTCAAATTAAATGGTGGTAGTCAGAAGTCTGGTCCT